ACACATACACACACACACACACACACACACACACACACACACACACACACACAGACACACTTTAATTATTTAGGACTACTTTACTACTTAGTAATTAAAGCTATAAAAGATAAATTCTGACAATGTCTTTATAAAGTACTTTTCAATACGAGAGGAAGAAGCAGTCAAAGTATGGCTACTATTTAGCAGGCAACAGAAGGGATATTGGATTATTATAAAGAAGGTGCCAAAAATGTATACACATTTTAAGAAAGAAAAAAAAAGCTATATTAAGATTGTAATACTCAATATATACCGATAACAAAAGATGAATACAAGTCACATTTGATTTCTGCAATTACAAGAGGTGCTCAAAGTGGTTATCATCAGTGTCCAGGCACTTCTGATTACAGCCAACTCCTGCAGGACTTGTTGCTGTGTGAGACCTCATGGATCTTCCATTGCACACATAACATACAGTACTATGCGTCTCAAACTTATCACGAATGCATGCAATTGTTAGGCGTGTTGGAAATTCTGCTGCCTACTAATGCTTCCATTGTTGAACAACCACAATGTTCTCAAATTTCAAATACCACTCCAAAATGGTATTGTGCCTCCTTGAACAACAACCATACTTCCTCCTTTTTCTTTTGACTGTCTTGCCTGTTGAATGCTGATGCTAGCATTCATTCGATTAATGCCATCCTCTGAGCAAATGTCATACTACACATTTCTACCATAATTCAATTCAACTTTGAAATGTAATACATAGATAACATCTCTTAAAATGTGTATATAGTTTTTGGCACCCTGGTATATAAATATGCTAATCTATATATAATATAATAACTTTATATATATATATGTATATATATATATAAATTTATAAATCCTGGTTTTCTGCGACCCCAGAAATGACTTTTGAATTTTTTTCTCTAATTTTCAATCTATATTTAAAGACTATCTCTGTGAAGGAGAATCAGACTGGTAGTTCTTTCTGAAAAGAACAAATTTATCTGGAGAACTCTGAAGACTACTGAATACATCAATGGCTTCCCTAAATGCTAGGCTCAAAAATTCATCACAAGGAAGTGAAAACTTTCTTTCCCACTCAAATACTAAGTTACTTCTACAGTAGGCTATAATCTCAACATCCAAATAGGATGCAGATGTGGAAACAAGCTCTCATTTTCATATAATATTATTAAGTGATACACAACTTACATGACACAAATGTCATGAATGGGCAGATTTCCAGAGTTCTTTGTGGAACTTATTATTAATTACTAAAATTTGTTCATTACTCACAGTAAGCGAGGCAAGTTGGGAAACATTTTTCACATACAATTTAATACTCATACAACCTGCAAAGCAGACAGCATAACTACCTACGTTTTATAGATAGATAGGTGGATGATTGATTGATAGGTAGGTAGGTAGGTAGGTAGGTAGGTAGGTAGGTAGATAGATAGATAGATAGACAGACAGACACATAGATGGATTAAACAACTTAGGCTCAGGGATGTTAAATAACTTACCCAAGGTCACACAGCTGTAGTAGTGGAACCAGACTTTGAACCCAGACAATCTAACTCCAGGGTTTAAGCTTTAAACATTATAACATATTGCTTCCTCTCATAAAAAATGGTCCTGGAAGTATTGGTATAGCCCAATATGATACTGTGAAAGAATGTACCTCTTGTTTCTGTCTGTTATCAGTATATTGTAGTTGTAAAATGTTCAGCATAGTGTCAGACATAGATTACATATACAAACACATATACCTCACTAAATGGTAACTACAGTAAGAACAAGACTTAGGATTCAAACAGACTTGGGTTTGAATTCTTGTTCTGCTACTTACTGGGACTGTAACATCTATGAGCCTCAGTTTCTCTTTCTGAAAAGTGTGAGCCGGGCTCGGTGGCTCAGCCTGTAATCCCGTGCCTTTGGGAGGCTGAGGTGAGTGGATTGCCTGAGCCCGCGGGTTCGAGACCCGCCTGGGCAGCGAGACCTCATCTCTACAATAAATCAAAAAATCAGCCGGGCGTGGTAGCGTGCGCCTGTAATTCCGGCTACTTGGAAGACTGAGGCGGAAGGATCGCCGGAGCCCAGCAGGTCGAGGCTGCGGTGGCTGGGAGCGGCCACTGCACTCCAGTCTGGGAGACAGAGTGAGACTCCAAGTCAAAAAAAAAAAAAAAGAAAAGTGTGACTAGACATACTTGTTATGAAGCAGTAGTAAAACAATTTTTTTTAATATATGACTATACATAATATTTACATATGTTTATATACAAACATATCTATCACTATATGGTGAATGTGAATGTGTATTCTTTTTTTATTTTTTTGAAAGTAGGATTTATTGAGAGGAAAGAAAAGCTCCCACAGTGGGAGGGCACCCAAAGGGGTTGCCCGTGAATGTGTGTTCTGTGTGTTTTGTACCCAGAACAGGAAACCAAATTCAGAGATTGACGTGACCACAATCATGTCATTTGCAAATAACAAAAAAAGAGTGGTTAATTCAGGTCTTGTGAGTTCATGCTCAAGGTACTTTAAATGTAGTTTGTTTACTATTAAATTATTTTTATTCCTACTGAATTTGTGAAGTTTATTTTTTAAAAAAATTCTCCGTACTCTGTCTGCATTTCTTTTTTTTTAAAAAGGTAGTTCTAGAACACCTAAATACCTTCAGCACAATTTTATATTTCTTTAGAAAGTCCTGAAAGCTTTTACAAGTAAAAAACCTATAGTGTATAAACATTTCAAAATTATGTTTCCTATCCATTCAGAAATATAAAAGATATAAAGTATATTTGTTCTAGTTAGGTAAACTACATTTATATCAATGTATTCTTATATTTCTAGTTGATGTAATAATTTTACCAAATGGATTCCAATGAGGCTGAGAAATGCAGTATTTGTATTAGAAACATGTTTATTTGACTATGGCATTGCATAAATGCCAATATTAAGATCTAGGATATTTTAAAATATCTTATGTTTGGTTACTTTTCTCTTCTCTATTTATAGCTAATTTTCAATTATCCTTATTATTGGAGGAAGAAAATTGGCACAGACAAGTCAGAAGAGAAGATAATAACCAATTCCCAGATTATTATATTTAATTCTGCAATATGTTATGGTTGCATAGTGCCAAAACAAACAGCTTCCATGGAAATAGCTCAATTGAACTACTTATTTGGTATAAAATTGATCTTCTAAAATATCGTGTTGTTTAGTGAATTTAATTATGCCAACTATATTATAAGATTTGTGCTTGTTTTCTTTGTATTTTTCCTTTTAATTTATGACTACTTAAGATAATTACATTAATTCATATCCTTGACACTTCATACTTAGGCTGAATAGAGTAGGGAGTAGTGCGTTTGCTGACAGAGAAAAGCTGTCTAAAAACTGGTAGGAAATGTCCTAGCATAGTAAAATGACTGGTGGAAATTTTTCACTTTAAAGAAAAAATCTCTGCCAGCTTTTATCTTTTTCCCCCATACCTTCTGCTTGATGATCATCTCGTTGATATCTTCAAGGTCACCCACCATCACTCTCTGTGACTTTATAACTCGGTCAAGCAGAGAAAGCCAGTCGGTAAGTTCTGTCCAAGCCCGGTTGAAATCTGCCAGAGCAGGTACCTCCAACAGCAAGGAAGATGGCATTTCTACTTTGGAGATGGCAGTTTCCTTAGTAACCACAGGTTGTGTCACCAGAGTAACAGTCTGACTAGGAGCTAAATATTTTTTTTTTCAAAAAGGAAAAAAGGAAAAAAGAAAAGGAAAATTAGAAAAATAAACTAAAGAACGAATTTCAATAACAATAAATCAATTTTAATTGAAGTGTAACAATTTGAACCAAACTCTTACTTATGACATTACACATCTTTTTCTAACAATGCAGATATTTTATTTAGTAATACATAATAGGAAATTAAGACATTCAACCTTTTCAATAATATGCATTTAACAATCTTTCAAAAGAATTTTGCTTTTCTCATGCTTAGACAAATAATTTAATTTAAATAACCTGTCTCAATAATAATTATATAAATTGTGGAATTAATAAAGAACACAAAAGCATTCAGACTTTTCCAGGTGAATACATTTAACTTTCTTCCCCCCTCATCCAAGGGGAAAAAAAGCAAAAGTAAAGATTGGATAAAATCTTATTTCTGACTTATGAATCTCTTGAATAGGAAGTAAATTACTTTGGAGGTGGGCGCTAGGGAAATCAAAGCCAATAAAATGTTCTTGTCTTAGCTCAGTATTTTATACTGTGATATGTTTATCATATTTTTTCCTCTTCCAGATTGGTAATAAAGTGGCTGGCAGTGAAGAAAAAACGAATTACAATATATTTGGAAAATGAGAGCTAGTAATGTTTTTCTATTTAGCCATGAAACACTGTCACAAGGTCGTTAAATAAATTTTAAATTAATATTAACAGTGTTGAACACTATAGTGTAAGACAGCACATGGTAATGGTCAAGATCTGAAGTCCTAGAGTAAAAATGCCTGGGAGACAATCTTGCTTTCTGCCTTAGGAACACTGGGACCTTGGTTAAGTTATTGAGCCTCTCTAAGCTTCCATTTTATTTATTAGTCAAGAATAAATAGTAATAGGGTAAATGTCATAGAGGTGTGGTTTCAATGACTAATAAAAGCAATGTATATTACAATGCCAGAATCATCATCATCATCATCATCATCATCATCATCATCACATCAATTTCTTCTTCATCACAACAATAATACTAGCACAGTACCTGATGCTAGTAGGTAATCAAGATGTTAGGTATACTGTTTTGATAGACACCTGGTTAATAAGAAACACAGTGATGAACAAATGTGATGAGAAGTGGAAGATAAGGCCTGGGAATGTGAAACACTGGAGGAAAAGATTAGTCAAAGGTCTGTCAGTGGCTCTATATTGCTTGAAGAGGGTTGAACTTGCTGGCGTGAACTGATATTAAATACCAACACATAGCTGCATTATGAAAGGTGAGTGTTGAGGGAAGGAATGCGTAATCAAGTTAATATACAATGGGATCAGAAACATAACCAGGAGACTGGTATTAAATTTTTGTTTTTAAAAAATAGGACTACTTAGCTCAGAAGGGACAGTTTCAGGGAAAGCTGCAAAAGACATCTCAATGGGAGACCTCAGAGGCACAGACAACAGGGGAACTATTTTAGGAACATGAAAAAATGTGCCCTGTTGGATTTTCATTCTGGGGTGGCCATTCATTAAATTTCACTGTTTGTACATTTTTAGGTTGTCTCCTCGTTAGAGCAAAAGATAAGTGGAATGGAGGAACGTTTTTCATCTCTCAAGCACTTCAGGCACACCAAGAGGTTTCTAGAGAAGGAAGAACTAATCCTGAACAAGGCAGAAGGAAAAACTTGTTTGAGATGTCAGCTAGAATTTTTTTAAATGCCAAGAAATAATGACTGAAAGACAGTAATACTAAGGTGATAAAGAAGACATTTGTTTGGCCAGGCGCAGTGGCTCAGGCCTGAAATCCCAGCACTTTGGGAGACCAAGGTGGGAGAATTGCTTGAAATCAGGAGTTCAAGAAGAAATTTTGTTTGTCCAGCCTATCTCACTACTCAGAGGCTCTTTCTAGGAAGAATGAAACATAATGTAAGTCAGAAATAGCATCTGTGATACACAGTCCAGAAGAAGGAAGCATGGAAGCAAACAAGATCTGAAAGTCTTAAAAGAGATTTCAAAAGAGGAGCTAAAAATCCAGAAAGGATGTATGTGTGAGGATGAAAGCAGAGCTAAATTAAAATATCACTGTAGGAGCTAACTACAGAACATGAGACTGACTGAAAAATGTGGACGAATGCTTCTTAAAATAGATACACAATGAATTCTAGGGTAACTTTGTAATTTGGGAGGATATCAAGGTTATGGGAAGTGTCAGACAATGCTGTTTTGTTTTTAATTTGACTTGTTGAAAATTTGGTACTCAAATGAGAACAGAAACATTTTCTTTCTCTAGACTTACTTCTGACTAGCAAAGAAGAACTTAATGAAGTGGAAATGATCATGTCAACTTAAATTTCAATACTGTATAGTGAAGGATGAGAACATAGAAAATGATCGGACTTCAATGAGCAAACCACTGCTTTCTGTAAAGCATATTTGAAAAGAAACAAAGAAAGAAACTCAATTGAAAAGAAAAACCAGAGCCTGAGACTCAAAAAGGGAGAATGATTCAAGATGACTAAGAAGTACAACTATGACATCAAGATGATAGTATCACAAAGTTTTACATTAAAAAAGGAAGAACTAAAATAAAAATAAAGAAAATAAAGAAGCAAAAGTTACTATTTTTTCTTTGCAGCAACATGGATGGAGCTAGAAATCATCATCCTAAGTAAACTGACTCAGAAACAGAAAATCAAACACCGCATATTCTACCTCATATGTGGGAGATAAAGGGTCACAGAGATGGAAATAATAGACACTGGGGACACCAATAAGGAGGGAGGGGTAAAGGACTTAGGGCTCAGAAACTACCTACAGTTCTCAATGTTTACTATCTGAGCAATGGGCCATCTGAGACTCAGTCCCCAAAACTACACAATATGTCCATGTAACAAATATGCATGTGTATCCCCTCAATCGAAAATTAGTGGGAAACTGTCAGGGGAGTGGGGGTGGAATTGGCAGTTGAGGGAAACTGCTAGGGGAGGGAGGGGCATACCTCATCAACAAGGGTGCCTTCATGATCAATGTTTATATACCTCATCCTGAATTGTACCCCACACCTTTGTAATAAAAATTAAATAAAAATTAAAAAAGAAACAAAAATTAGTTGAAGCAGATTCAGAGGAGCATGCAGAGGCCTAGAATTACATCATTCTTTTGGGTCCTAAACACCTTTTAGTCTTTAACATTTTCATACTTAAATCTAATTCTAATTACACTAAAAATAACATAATCTTGCACCACTATTAGGTGTTTTGTTTTTTAATATGTCTAAAGGATAGCTGATAGTAGTTGAGAGCTGGAATATAAAGTCAGAAACTTTGGGTCTCAAGGTGGATACTATGTCATATAAAGTAGATAGAGCCTAATATTCATCCACCTCACACATTTCATCAGGGTCAATCCTGTTCAAAACAATACTATTTAAAATATTTTGCATTTCCTAAAAATACTTTCCTCTAGATTCACACATGTATATATTTTTATTATTATGCAAAGTGTTTCAAAGGAGAGATTTTGAGGTCTTGAATATATTTATCTTATTTTATTATGTATATCATATTAACTCACACTATTTTTTCAGATGCATTTGCCTTTGTCCAAAAGAAAGAGGATTTTTCTTTTCCACCATGTCATGTTACTAGAAATATATGCAAATCACCTTGTTAGGTAAAATTTAGGCTAGTCAGATTTGCAAGGGGGGAGTTTCAGCGGTTTTGCACAGTCTAAGCAACAGGTTCTTGACTCTTAAGGGTCAGGCAGGGATATATGGTTGTTCAAGGATATTTTCTGTTAACTAGGTTTTTTGTTTGTTTGTTTGTTTGTTTGTTTTGGTTTTTTTTGAGTTGGAGTCTCACTCTGTCGCCCAGACTGGAGTGCAGTGGCCGCTCCTGGCCACCGCAGCCTTGACCTGCTGGGCTCCGGCGATCCTTTCACCTCAGTCTTCCAAGTAGCCGGAATTACAGGCGCGCGCTACCACGCCCAGCTAATTTTTTGAATTATTGTAGAGATGAGGTCTCGCCAAGTTGCCTAGGCGGGTCTTGAACCCGCAGGCTTAGGCAATCCACTCATCTCAGCCTCCCAAAGCGTGGGATTACAGGCTGAGCCACCGAACCCGGCTAACTAGGTATTTTAAAACACTGAAAATTTTTCCTCAGAGTGTCCGAACCCATAATCTTGATCAGATAAAGATTCAGGATATATAAATTACTTCACATAATTTTCAGCATGATGTTTAGGGATAGGTCTCCGTTCTCCTCACTAAGGAGCATGGGAAATGGCTTGCCCTCCAGCTGGTAGGGATTCTTTTCTTTGGTCCCTATTTAATCCCCCCACAGTCTGATCATTTTGCCTGGACATTCACCCCCAGCCTTAGGCCCCTATTTAACATCACAAGGAGCTGGTCTTGCTTCACCACCTCTCTAACCACCATGGAGGCCAAAGGTATTCTTTTAAAGTCCATTGAAGGAAGCATCTTTTCCTGCTTAGGGTCCTGACTGAAAATAGTCTTTCTGGTATCATGCTATTAAGTGTCCCTCCGGTAAAAAAAGTATTTTTTCCTCAATTCCCTTATGCCAGGACCATACATACTACAATGTACTCAATTATGTTGTATAGATAGGTAGCTAGGCACACACATCATATGTATGTGTGTGTAAAAAAGAAAAAAATATATATATATAGAGAGAGAGATGAAGACAGTTGAGGGAGAGACGGAAAGAGAGGGAACTAACTATTGATGGTTGTAAGCTTAATGTTTCTCATTTACTCATTAGAAAATTAAAATGACCCTACCAAAAATTGTGATTTACTTCCTTAGTTAAGCAGACAGAAAGTCAAGCTCAAAATAGCTGAAATGCATTGAGTTTGGCACACCAGAATGGTAGCATGTATAACAGTAGGTTTAATATAGTATTGCAAACAACAACTTTGCTCTGAGTATTTTGTTAATTAAAAGATATTGGCTTTAGGAAGGAACTCTAATTTTTTCAAAAGTGTTTGAAGAACATTTCT